GCATACAGCACGCATTCTGTGCATGTTTGGTAGCACCTATTTATTCGAGCAGATGTTTCATGAAAATAATTAAGAACAAACATCGTGCAAGACTTACGAATGAACATCTCCAATCAATTCTTAAAATAATTATAACAAATATGAAACCGGACATCAATGAGCTTGTCAAAAACAAGAGAAGTCAGATATCTGGATCCTCGAGCTCAAAATAATTACCATCATTATAACTTTATAATATACGGTTGTTAAAAATCATATTAAGCTATATAATTAGGTAAATAAAATTTTATAATAATTCAGTACATTTTATTTATTCGCATCTGGCCCGTCTACATATTCTAAATATAATATATGGCCCTCTGCAAAATTGAGTTTGACACCTCTGTTTTAAATGATCAAATCAGCATATATATATGTGCATATGATAAAGAAAATTGCGTGTCACATGTTTTGAACTTTTAAAGAAGAAAAAATTTTTGGTTTTAATTCTTTGTCGAATTATTATTATTTTAATTGATAATTTATTATTTTATTATTTTTTTCAAGTCGTAAAATATTCAAATAAGGGGTTTATATATTGTTTTAATGTGAGAATTACGTCAAAAAGGATCCAGAAATTTAAAAGTCCTAAATTCTAATGACCCGTACTTTCCTAAAGTCTAGCGGAAAAACTGGAAATGTATGATTTGATCAGTCCCAAAAATGTCTATAAAAATATGTTTTGATTAATTCAATTTCGCTTAATCTAAAAATATGTTTCCATTAAACTACAAGGAAAAGAAAAAAAAAACTTTGTGGGACATTTCTCGAAGTTTCGTGAAGGGAACGGAGAAATTCTGGCAAATGAGCTGTTGGGACTATTCTATTTTTTAACAGCCTTATTTTTATATTGAGGGAAATATGTAACGATATACGTTAATCGTGACCCTTATATTTATTTACTAGTAGACCCATTAGTGAATAAATAGACCATCCACCCATAGTTAGAAAAGCTCTAGTTTATGTTCATCGCTACTCTAATATTTATTTACCAGTAGACTCACTAGTGAACAAATAGATTTTCGTCTCATTGTTTGAAAATCTCTGATTTATACTAACGTAACTCTAATATTTATTTGCATGTAGATCCACTTGTGAATTAATTGAATATAGACCCATAGTTTTAAAAGCTGTGGTTTATTTAAATCACGATCCTAATATTTATTTACTAGTAGACTCACTAGTGAACAAATAGATTTTCGTCTCATTGTTTGAGAATCTCTGATTCATGTTTATCGCGACTCTAATATTTATTTACATGTAGATCCACTTATGAATTAATTGACCACTGACCCATAGTTTGAAAAGCTCTGGTTCATGTTTATTACAATCTTGATATTTATTTACTAGTAGACCCACAAGTGAATTAATGGATCATCAACACATAGTTAGATATTATTCGTTATTCGTGTTTTATATTTATCGTGACGCTAATATTTATTTGCAAGTAGAACCACTAGTGAATGAATAGACCATTGATCCCTAGTTTGAAAAGCTCTGGTTTATGTTAATTACAATCCAGATATTTATTTACTAGTAGACACACAAGTGAATAAATGGATCATCGATCCATAGTTTGAAAAGCTCTAGTGTTTATAAATACTTTTCTTAAAAAACATTAGTTTCTTACGAAATTATAAATTCCAGAAAGACTATAATTGAAAACAATCAATTTTAATTGCAGTAATCACCATTAGTGATTTCACTTTTGCTGAGTTCTGCCAAAATTTTTAACAAAATTTTTAAGGACTTTACTAGGTGTTTTCACAATATCATAAACTGATTTTTTTGATAAAAATTTAAAGATTATTGACTTTGAAAATTAATTATATCTAAAACATTATTTATTTTTCATTTTATTCTATAAGTTTTTTCAGATTTCCTGATGCCTTTTATTTTATTCCGGTTCTTGAGGAAAAAATATCTTTAGCTTTTCAGAGAAATACTTCTTATTGTCACATTCAATAAAATGATCAATAAAAACGATCTACTAAGCCGCTGCAAAAACGAATGAGAGAGCAATGCGTTGCATAATGACGGGAATAGTGTGTGCATAAAAGACGACAGGAATTCTGAAATAATTAAAATTTTGAAGAAAAAGTAGGCAAACATAAAAGATAATGAAGGGTACAAATGAATAATATCTCAGATGCTATTAACTTTCAAAGTCAATAATCTACAAGTTTTAATCAGAATAAAATTTAAGTTTTTTTCTGAAAAAGCTTAGTAATTCCTTTAAACTTTTAATTAAACGTGTTGTCTTGGAAATTATGCATATACTATATTGAGAAGTATGAATTTCTGAGCCTTTTTTGCTTATTGAGACATTATCACAATGACAATGACATATCGGACTACAAAAATAGTTACCGATATCATTTACGTGTTAATTTTCATTTCAGACATGTAATTAAAGAAATGTCCATCAATGGTAATAATTGAAAAATATCATATGTATATTAGATATTTATATGTATATAAGATATTTATACAAATGATGCCTCAACTTGCTTAGTTCAGAATTCATTTCTCATTATGTTTTGAAGTTAAATAACGGTATTAAACACAGTAAAAAAAAATTAGTGTACAATTGCCACCATTTTTGGTGTTGAAACTATCATCTTTTTGCAGTGTACAAGCATTACACTTTGTATCACTCTTTTATTTACCTTTTGATTATTATAGTTTATTCATTTATTTACTCATTTTTTATTTGCTTATTTTCTGATAACATTAATTTTCATGAGCTTTAGAATCAAATTATAACTTTTTTGCAAAAGCATTTCGTTTAAAAAGCGAGCCCATTTTTAGTTATATATTTTCCTTGATTGTTTCAAACAATTGTTGTTTTGTCAATTAATGTTTTGCATAATAACTACAGTTCTGTACTTAAAAATGTATTTAGTTTACCTCAACGCCAAAAATGATGGCAACTATACATATTTTTTTACATTGTACTAATTGGTTTTAATTTTTCTTTTCTCTGAAAATATTTGTTTAAAGAAAAATGTGCTTAAACAACTTTGAAATGAGCAATTATAGCTTTCAATGAAATTGAAATCAAATTTTCCATTGAGATGGCGAACTTATTAGCATCAGTTCAAAATAAGGCATGTTGGTGATGCTGTTGTTGTCTTATGCACCTTGTCAATACTGATACTTGTAATAATACTTGTCACTACTGATACCTATTTTAAATAAAAGGGATGCTCTTCTTCTTGTTGGTGATATCTAAATTATTTATATTAAAAAGTGCGAATTAAAAGGTGCACAAACAAAATAGTATTATATAAACATAGCTGATCTAGTAAAAAAAACTTTATAGCTGCTAAGTTATTTTTTCAAGTATAAGTGTATAAGTATAATTAATAGTATAATTAAAGTATCATTAAAGATATTTAAAATGATTAAAAAAAAGTTGGGATATATTAAGGCATTAAAATCAGTGCATAACAACCTTTTAAAATAGAGGATATTTAAATTTAAGAAAAACGATAGTTATACAAGAGTAGTAGCTGTGTGAAAATAATAAAAAAAAATCACAAACATATCGTAAATGTAAGCTGATATTTATTACACACATTTATTGTTTTGTTCAACATAAATATGCACCAATTAATAGGTTTGCGCATGAAATATAATGAATAGTGACATAAAAAGCTGTGACAAAACATCAAGATCACTTTTTTTATGAATATCAGTGTATAACAGACTGTGACGGTACATGTATTTAATAATTAACGTCACTTCCATTGTAAGTATTTCCATAGAACAGCTATCAAAATACAATGAAAAAGAGTTACAAATGTGTACTACTACAAACAGATGCAACAGTAAAGCTTTCCATACACATTTCACATTAAATGATTTCAAAACTTTTCAAGTGTAAAATTTTAATTTAAAACGATGATATACAATTTATTTGCAACACATTTCATTTTTAAAATTTTCAATTGGTACTTTGAAGAAAATCCAACATGGTGAGACGTAGTTTTTTTTAAAAAATAATTATAATTACAATTTATTTTTCGTATATAATTGGTATATAAATAGGATTTTATTCCAATTTTTAAGACAATCTGTCACAACGCGAAAATAAATTGCTTCGAAAATTAGTTGTCTATAACGCCATATAGACGATTTTGTTTCTAATCTAAATGTATTTACACTAAGTATCATTATAAAAAAGCTAGAACTAATTTGAATTTTCGAGAAATAGCTTCACAACCACTCAATAGCTTCATAAAGAAATACATACAAAACTGCATTACATACAAGGAAGAACAATTGATGCTTACTAAGTGATATAAGCATACGTCTAATAACACAAGTACAAAATACATGTTTCGTAATCCGAGTATTTTTGATAGCTTTTACACTTTCTAAAAGCAATATATGTACTAAGATTCAATGATGGCAAAATGTTGCCTTTATTTTATGTTTCTGTGAAATGTTGACACATTTTTTCATTTATATTACATTTAGATTACATTTTGCGCTTTGACTAGAAAACACTTGGAGACAAAATTGGGACCAATGACTTCAAAATCCAGATTTATTAAAAAAAATTTATAAAAATTAACGTTTAAGTATCGACATGTAATTTAGAAATTTAATACATTTAAAAAATGGCATTCTGAAGTAATTTTTTTTCTGAAACTTGCAGTTTATTTTTTAAAGTTCATAAAATAGAAATGAGATTTAGAGCAACACATAAAACATAAAATATATGATTTTTCGATTAGGTTACTATAAATATTGCACATCATTTTATTCAAGGAGAAATTTATATATTTTTCAAATAGGTTTATAAGCACTTTTTTCAGTTATATTTATTTTATTTCTTTGAATTGAATTTAGTTAAAATAATGCTTTGTTTGGCCTAGTTTAAGGCATAAAAGTTATAATAAGAATAAAAATTTATTTTAATTTACAGTAGACATTTACAATATTTACCCCAGTTTCTGAAAAGAAAAACAAGAAAAATTTAATTATTTTTAAAGAGATTCCATGTAATACAAATATATAAGAAGAAAGTTGTCCCTTTATTTATTTATAGTTTCTAGGAAATGACTTAATTAGGGATGACTTAAATTGTGCTTAAATTGTGTAGTTCTTAATGAATATCAAAAGAACGCTTCAGATATTAAAAAATATTTAGAGTCGCTTTAGATATGAGTTAAGTAGGAGCTGTAGTTAAGTAGATAAGAATAATGTAGGTTAAACTAATAGTTTAAATTTATCTTTGCAGTTCTAACTATCTAAAGCAGTTAGAAGTTGCCCTTAAATTTTGTGCATTATAAACAATAATTTCGGTTGATCATAAATTAAAGCTGTGATATATATTTGTTTTTCTTGAAAAATCCAGGTATATTAATGTAATATTAATAAAAGCTATGAACAAAAACTTAGCCTGAAGAATTTTTTGGAATAGTCTGATTTAATTTATGAATATAAGAATGCATTTATGGCCAGTTCCACAAATCAAATGCAAAAGCATCAAAATGACAAATTACAACAGCTATATAAGGAAGCAATTTATACTTAGAAGCGCAAAAGAAGAGGATATTTTGTTTCCTGAATTAATTTAATTCAATTTTCAGAGACGATTCCGCACGAAATTATTCAAAAAGAAATTATATGCTTTAAAAAATTGTTTAAATTTTTCTTCAAATGTCACTGATATTATATTATACAGTTTACAGTATTTCTTTTAAAAATTTTGTGAGGATTATAAAAATACATGTTTTTCTTAACTTTTTAGAAGCTTGTTAAATATAAGAGGTTTTATTCCTGAATAAATTTATTAACTGAATATACTACACAAAATTTTTATATTTTTTATTTTGAAGAACTAGTAAATTGATTCACAATATCAATTCTTATTCACGTCTTTGAACTTATTATACAAAATAAAAATTTGATAAAAGTATCCAATAATTAATGACGGAATAATACCTTTGATAATTAAAGAAAACTCAAGATTTTGAAAGCCATTGGAAAAGTGGGGTGCTTACTTTAATGTGACATAATGATTTCAATATAAATGAACAATTTTATAGAATTTGTTTCTGCTCAGTACAAAGCTGTTCTACATGTGCTGAAAAACAAATTAGTCACGTATATTGTTGACACTGAGAAATAGGAAGAACACTCAGTGCTAATATTCACTGTTCCTTTTAGATATTTTATCAATGGACATTATTAGCTGTGATAAACACTTGAGTGAAATTTGTCCAGTCTTTGGATACGGCACATCAGATATTTATTTATATATATATGATTTTAAACATTTCATGTTCAAATCTTTCAAAAGGAATGTTTCAAAATATATATATGCATGTACTCCAATAAACGATCTTCTTTGCAAAAAATATTGCAGTAATCTTCAAGCTGAAACACTTCTTGTTCTTGGAATTACCGGAGGAAGCAACTTCCAAATATAAGCATGGAAGCAATTCATATTCCTCTGAATAGAAATCACACATAGACCCAATGTTTCCACTAAAAATATGAAATAAATTTTGAATAAATTGCTGATTATTGAAACAATTTTACACAATTATAATACAAAAATTGTTGTTCCCCCATTACGCTGCCCTCCTAAGAGGTCAAGAGAGAACACTTGTGTTTTCAGGAATTCTAATAAATTATATCTAGTATTTCAAGTTACTTGAAATAATTAAAATTTTTAATTTATGGTTATGAAGTCGTAGTGGCTCAGGGGATAGTGCGTTCGCTCATCAATGAAGTGAACTGGGTTCGTAGCTGGCCGATATGAATTCCTCACCCGGTTCACATCGACTATTGTAACAGCTAACATAAAATATCCTCAGTGGTAGACAGATCATCAGTTAGAGTCCCCTTGCCATCAAACTAACCATTGGAGGTTTTCGCAGTTTTCCTGTCCATATAAAGCAAATTCCATCAAAAAGACCTCCACGAAAGCAAATTTCTCTCAATACTTGATCCTGGAGTTCCCTTGTCTTCTGGAATGGGCTCAAAATTGCAAGATGGTTATGGAGGTGAGCATTCGTAGTCGTAAACCAAAAATAGGATCGGTTGTTCTACGACGGTTATAAAATAAAATTAAATTTATGATTATAACATTTGTTTACTATGTGTGTTATTGAAACTATTCGGCAAAAAAATAAGGACTAATGTCGCCTTTTTAAATTTAAAATTAAATTTTTCGTTAATTGATTTTGATTTGCCGGTTCGCATGCTGCTGTTTGCAAAAAAATTCAAAAATTGATCTTGCACAAATTTGGATATGAGGTAGGTAAAGTACTCCATAAAGATTGGAATTGCTAAACAACTTGTGACCAGAGATACCACCGTAGACCAATAGGAATGCTAGTTTGACATACTCCGCACCGCTCGCTAGGAATGCTACTTTGACATACTCCTCACCGCTAGGAACCCGTACACGGCTAGGAATGCGAATTTCTTGTGATTTGGCTGTTCATGCGACTTTGAGCCTGCAATTTTATTAATCTAAATTATTGTGATTTTTTGTTAATTTCACGCTTTTGAATAATTATTGTCGAAAACGGATTCAAGTTCCCCCCCCCCAAAAAAAAAAGCTGTTTTACCTTAATTTGATTTAATGACCAACTTGTCGAGCTCAACACGTTAGTCACCAAATTATTAAATTTTAAATTACGAAGTAACAGCTATTTCTGGGCCTCTTTGAATGCAATATTTGACAATAATTATTGGTTGACATGAAGTTATGTTTGTTGTAATTTAAAGAAGCATAACATAAAATAGTGGAAGAGTGTAATTTTTTTTTAAATTATGTAATCTATATATCAGGTCACGAGCATGTAACATATGTGCTTTCTGTATTTCTGAATTTGTTAAGAGATGGAGAGTCTATTCATACTTTCTTTATATTCTTCGCAGTTAGGTTTCATTTTATTTTATTATCGGCATTGAATCCATTTCAGATTTGCGGTTGTTAATGTTCAATTCCATAGCCTTGTGGTTTTGAACCTGCCCCAGAAGACAAGGAAACATCCTAAAAATTGGTACTAACTCGCTTTCGCAGAAAACTTTTTGCTGGAATTAATCTGCGATCAAAGGGTTCAATAAGTGAGTTGATTTACAACAGCAGGCGGTTTAGCTCAGCGTTGATTTTGAAAATAGAATCTTGCTGTTTTCTTTAATCAATCATGTTGATTTTTTGTTGTTAGGGATATATTAAGCGTAGAGATTTTTTCTTACAAAAAAAAAAAAAAAAAAAAAAAAAAAGAAAGAAAAAAGAAAGAAAAAAAAAAAGAAGAGAAATTGGGGAATTTCGGAGTCACGAAGTGTATGACTACCTAATAATTAATACTTTTTCGGCGTGGGTCTATCGTCTTATATGAAAAATATGCTTAATAAGTTATCGAAGTTTGATTGACTTCTAGTTTAAACAGTTAAAGTGACAATTTAAAAAAAAAAATGAACTGCTTTTCAAAATTTCTTAAAATTATTTACTACAAGTCAGGTCAATTTTAACACAATGACTTATGAAATCATAGTCAACATTAATTTTTATAAATTATTGGATTATATGTTTTCATTTAACTTCACACTTTTAGGAAGTCTATCCAATTGCGTTAAAACAAGCATTGGGAATTGTTTCCCCATTTGTAAGTGTATACCAGTTTTTTTCTTAAACGATTGGCATTTACGATCTTCATAAAAATATTATTGTTTTAAATCATTCTAATGTGAGGAGTTGTTTATGTGGAATAATTAATTAAATTAATAAATTAAAATTCAACAGATGACGCTAGCAGTCGCATTTTTCTGCACTATTGTTTCAATAAAAATGTGAAAGCAATACATCAAAATTATTTTCAATGCAATGTGTTTGATAAAAAGTGAATAATTTCAAAAATTTTATTAATTTCATGTTGGGCGCTGTTTGTCTTCTTTGAAAGAGACCATAAAATTAATGAAGCAGAAAAGCCTAAATCGTTCAATTATGATCTGACCGAGAAAAAATAAAATAAAAAGCATAAAATGAAAGCATTTTATAAATAGTAGTAATATATTTCAGTAAATGGCATCAAATAAGTTTAATTAAAGCATTTTATACTTTTTGTTTTTTATTTTTTATTTTCAATAAAAGAATCAGAGACATAAAACAAAGAAAGTTAAAGTTAAAAATAAAATGAAGGTATTAAACATTTGTGTTAAAAAGCTTTACGAATTTTGTTTTTACAGATAATGTTATAGCTCATGGCGCCATCTATGAAGTTTTATCAAAAGTTAAAAATTTGCAAGCAAATGAAGCAAGCTGGTTTATTCCGATATTATAAATTAAAAAAGGAAAATAAATCGCCAAATAATCTAAAAGTACTTGTTTGTTAATAAAAAATGTAACCAACTGAGAAAATCTAGCTCAATGCAGGGTTTCAATATGGCATGATCATTGTATATGATTACACAAATGATACTTAAGTTTTAATAAGGAACTCGTGGTTTACAGTTTTTTTTGCAAATTGAAATAAAACTCAGTCGTTAATTCAAAAGTTAAGAATGTTTATATTATTCTTGAATCTAATTTTTGAGTTAAAATTTCAAAGTTTTAAAACAATCGATTTGAATTAAACAAATTATTACAATAACCTAACATTTCGAGATAGGAATTAGGTTTTTAATTTAACGTTATTTACATGTTCTATTGCACTTCTTTTATCATATTTTCAATTTGGAAGAAAGATTTTTTACCAGTGAACTGTTAATGATATGGCTAAAGGAATATTGTTGATTCTGACTGTTGTTTTTCAATCCTATTCCGTTTAGTAACAATGAATATTTTCTTAGAAACAAATGAAGATAAAATGAAGAAGATAAGAGAATATAAAAGTAGATAAAAAAAGTAAAATGAGTGTTTTGGTGTAATTACATACGCACATATAATACGTACGTAAATTGCTTGTTTTGGTACATTTCTTTTGTTAAAACTGAATAGCTGAATTTTACTGATTCTGACTATTAATTTGAAATCCTATCACGTTTGGGGATACAAATAACTTTCTCGCAAGGAGAAAAAAAAAGAGTTTATATCTGCGTTAGTCAAAACAGCGTTAAGTGTTCCTAAGCGTTAAGTGTTACAGCTTCAATTGTTATATCATATTATCATTTTTGTATAGAAAATTGTTTGTCAGGATCTCGAGAATGAGAAATTCGCGAAAATTGTGAAATAAAATCACTAAGATTTGACAATTTTAACTAGGATTCCCAGGAAGAAAAAAAAAGAAGGAAATTTTTACAGGAATTACATAAAGGAAATTATGACAGAGAATTAAGCATTTTGAATTGAAAATACATAGATTTCGCACTTTTAAGTGGAATCTCTCACGTATACCCACTAAGTCCTGTTCAAAATCTCAGTTCTCTAAAAACCTTGCACAAAACCTAATTACGGGAGCTTCCTGGATACAACGTGAGAGTGCGGAATCTCTTTAATTTATATTTTCTGTTCCTCTTCCATCTATCGTTGGTTATGAAAATATTTTTGCATAAAAACAAACTCATACTTTAAAATAAATGCAAGCACCAATTTAAAAGAGGGTTTGCAATTCTTACTGTTTAAAAAAAACAAAAAGCAATAAAAAAACAGCGATTTTGTTACAAATTGCTTATTACAAACGTCACGATTGAAGTAGAAATTTCTTTGTATTGTACACCAAGTTTAATGTTTACGTATTTTATGTTGGGTTTTAAATATACTTAAACTTGAGGTTGAATTGCATTATTTTGATTGACTGACTTGCTCCTGCTTTGCATGTACAGTGGCTACTCTATTGTTGTTTTAATTTGATTACAATAAAAAATAAAATTAAAACATGAAAATTATTCTTTATTTCTTTTAATGCAGCGCAGTTTCTACAAGCATCTTTTAAGAAATTTTCACATCTCTTAAAAGTTACATGTATAAACAGCCAAAAGCTGAAAGATGGTATATACTGGTTGGAATCTTTTGCACTCCACTGAACGTATTTTTGTGTCGTCCAGTAACTAAATCCCTTCTCAATGCTCTGCCCCTCAGCTCAACATTACTTTTGCGTTTTTTTTTTAACAGAACTGAATTAGAAAAATAACTTGTAAAAAGATGAGCATTGTGTCATTATCAGTTTTGACAATGTCCAACTTTGTCCAACATTACCTGAAAGAAATATACAATTTGACCTCCGAACAAGGCACTATGTATACAGGTTGATTAGGAAATAACTTTAACGTCACACGAGCCCTGGGCGAGTTTGCCGTTGAAGATATGGAATGAAGTAAAATTGAAGTTATGTAGAAAAGGAATTATAAGGTAAGCACTCGAGAATAGTTTTAAAAACTATTATCGACCCTATACGGTTATGGTGATACAATTTCAAAAATTTCACATAGCAACGCCTATTTTTTCATCGCAATGCGTCCCTCATAGGAAAAAAAAAACTTTAAACGAATTTTTAACATAAACAACGGCTATGCTAGGTTGAGATAAAAGTAATTTTTATAAACTTTCGACATTTAAGTGATTCCACTCTGTGCTGTGACGAAGGAATGCGATTCACATGTTGCATCTTTCTCTCTTTATCTCTGTCCAGCGACGTCAACATCCACTATTTTACATCGCAGTTCACTATACAGTTTTTTACTGCAAAGATAACGTTCCATAGAGAAAATGAATAAAAATTTCGAAATTTTTTGTTATAGTAACGGCTGAATAATCGTTTTGAACATTCTTGAGGGTATACCATAGTATATATTTATATACAAAGACGAAAATTTATGCCCTTCTCTCAAACGATATTCCCCCCAAGGGTCAGATGTTTGTAAAATTATTTTATAATTACCCTGCAGATCTTTATTATTTTTTGGTTACCAAATTATATTAGAAAAGAAAAAAAAAAGGATCTAGCCTAAATAATTTTTTTTCTGAATAAATTAAATATTTAGAAACATAATTTAAAATGTCAGCCAAAATATTTATTGAGTAAAATTACATTAGTTAGTAGGTAAATAGAACAGTTCCTCTATGAGAAAATTGATTGATTCCAGTAGAAAAATTCACTCTACTGAAATGTCGTTATAAAGAAGTTAGAGATTTTTGCAGTTATCTGAGTACTTTTAACAAAATTTTTAGTCAGTTTGATATGTTTAAAAATATATTATTACTACTTTTATTTAAAAATTAAGTTATATGGATTATAAATGTATTAAAATCGTTAATTTTGTTGCATAAATACAACAAAATGCTCAGTGAAGGTAATTAGTCAATTTATGGAATAATATATACTAGTATGCACTTAAGATTATTTTACTTGAAAAAGCTTCTCTTTTTACATTCATTTGATTTTCATGATGCTAAATTTTTATAAAAAGTTTCATAGTTTAAGAATGAGCTTTGATCTTCATTTTACACGTAGAGTCAAGGAGCATGTAAAATGAGTTATTTTTCTTCACGCAAATTATGGATCAGCTATGGAATTTGCAAGTCCCATAGCTGCCAACTTTTACAGATTTTCCAGAAAATTTTATTAATGATGCAAAATTTATGATTTTTTCTTCTAATTCTTTAATTTATAAATTAAATTTAATTTAAAAGGAGTTTTACCACCACTACATTAAATAAATTAATCACATATGACAGTTTTTATAGGTGTATTTAGGCTTTGTCAAAATAAAAAAAAATATTTCTAACAGCAATTCTTATTTAAGTGACATTTTACTGCTACTTGGGAAAACAGTAGAGAAAGAGAACAAGTTGGCAGATGTGAAATTCTGTTGTTTTTTTTGTTTTTCCCGGAATGAACAATGCAAGTATTTCCAGGAACAGGAACGTGTGAGAGCAAAGTAATCACACAGAAATATTAACTTCCCATAATAATTTTTTTCAAAAATGACGAAAACTGAGAAAATAAACGTCGGAGAAATTCGTTATAAGAAGAACTTGTGAATGTTTTTTAAAGTTCCTTTAAAAAATTTTGTTAATAAAAAACATTTTTGAGTTAGACTTGTATGATGTATAATGCCACATTACTCTCAGAAAACTTGATACGTGTTGCATTTCATAAATTTAAAACTGTAATTAATTAAAGCAATTCTCTTCTTCGTGACATGTGGAGAAAATTAATAACTTTTTTTGAGTTTGATTTGAAATTAAATAATGACGCATTATCAGCCGAACTCTTGATACATGCTGCATTCATGCATTTATATCTATAATTAAATTAAGTAACATTTTATTGCTATGCAAAACAAAAAAGCCACTTTTGAGTTCGACTTGTAAATGAATAATCTCACTTTATCAAGCAAACGCTTATTTGATACAGGTTGCATTTCGTAAAATTAAAATTGTAATTAAGCAAATTAATCCTATTTTTTCGCGACATATAGCCGAATTTTTTTTTTTCTTCTAGAGTTTGATTTAAAAATAAATGACGTTAGAGTATCAACCACATGCTTGATATATGATGCCTTTCATAAATTTAAAAGAAGTGAATACCTAAAAACTATTGATGTCGATAAAAGAATTATAGTGAGTTTATGATGTATTTTTTAGAGCCATTTCTAATCTATAATGGTAGGTATTAGTTAACTAAGCTATAGGAGAGAAAAAATTACATAGTAATGAAAATATCATTGAAAATTGTTATTTTCTTTAACAATTACTTACTTTAAATCTTTTGACATCTTTAATTTCTCCTCCTCTTTCCCCTTCAGGTGTTATGGTGTACGCTAATTTCTAAACAAAGAAAAAAAAAGTTAAGAAAAAATAAATGGAAAAACAAGATTATCCATTACATTTTTAATCCTTCTAAAGACTTTGGGCATTAAACGATTTAGGGCTTTAACTCTTTATTCTTTTGAATTGACGCTTGGGATCTCCTTTTATCGGCATTTTTTTCTTCTTCTTCATCCTTTCTTTTTCCTTTTTTATCTTAAGATTTAACTCTTTACTTTTTTTAAATTGCTGCCTGAGATGACTTTTATCTGCATTTTTTTCTTCTTTTCCTGCTTTTCTTTCTTTTTCCTTTAAGGCTTTAACTCTTTATGTTTTTAAATTGCCGCTTGGGATCACCTTTTATCGGCATTTTTTCTTCTTTTTCATCCTTTCTTTTTCTTTTTTTATCTTAAGATTTAACCTTTATTTTTTTTTTAAATTGCTGCCTAAGATGACTTTTTATCTGTATTTTTTTTCTTCTTTTCCTGCTTTTCTTTCTTTCTTTCTTTCTTTCTTTCTTTCTTTTTCCTTCAAGGCTTTAACTCTTTATGTTATTAAATTGCTGCTTGAGATCACCTTTAATCGGCATTTTGGTTTTCTTCTTTTCCTTTTCATTCGTTTTTTTCTTTCAATTTTTTTAAAATTTTCAATTCTCAGCATTGTGTCATTATCAGTTTTNGATTTAAATGAAATTAAATAAAACGTTTCATATTAAAAGAAAAGAAAGCTGAAAATAGTTTAAATGTGGGCTGGGAAAATAGCTCATGATGTATATTACCCCTTTGACCCAGGTGGGGTAACGGTGTCCCTTTTTTATATATTTTTTTCTAACTCTCTAATTAGAAGCAAAAATACTTTTTGGTATTTTTCAATTACAAAAAAACCCGTCTAATAGTTACTGTAAGAATTATGTTATATTATCGGAATTACTTTTGTACTATGAAATATAAAATCCAAAAACGTAACTTAAAAATGTTTTTTTTTTCATTCATATTCAAAAATTTACCAATAATTAATTTTGCAAATAATAGATATTTTAAAGATTAATAGCTGTTTCTTTTAAATCTAAATAATGGTAAATAAGTGCAAGTGCGAAAAATTATTGTTTAGAAGTGAGCCGTGTTTGGAATATTTTATCTTAATTGTTGAAAAAAAAAACTCCGGTGTTTCACGTTGTGCTTCATAAGCATACATTATTAAAAATGACAAATACAATATTTTTTACTTATTTTAACCTGAATTAATACAAAATAAAGAAAAAAGTATGGAAAATATGTTAATTAAAAATTCTGCGCCAAGGGTCTAAGAAATATAACAATAACGCTTAATAATAAAAACACATACTTGATTTGATAATAGTAAACATGCAATTATGATTCTGGGTTGGTTGAAAGATTGATCGACGTTTTGAACAATGTATTTTCTTGATTGGAGTTAATGATTATTATCAGAGATGAAAATATAGTGATACTTAGAGGACATTTAGTTTGCAAGTAATTAAAGTTTGCATCTCAGTTTACATTAAAGTTTACAATAGTATGTCTCAGATATACTAATGTAATCTGTTATATTATCACATTTTGCAAGTCTTTATAAAGATTGCTGTAAATTGTAAATTGATAATTGATAAGTTGATAAATTGATTGTAAATTGATGTTGTAATGTTAGCAATAGCAAAGTGTTCAATTGAAGCTAAATATAGTCTTTCAATTTAAATTAATTGATTGATGCTGGAAAATGATTTTTAAAAGAAATACCTCGGAAGATGTATTTCCAGGAGCTTTGAAAAATTTGTAAACTGCTACAATGGGTACCATGGCCACAGATGACAGAGCGAAGGTCCAACCTAGTGCTATCGCCCAGGAAGGGTATATATAATCTTGATACTGTAAAGTTGTGTTACTGATTACGGCTGATACGATGACTGCCTGTAAAAAATTCGAAGAATTCATAGGTAATTTTATGTTATTTATAGGTTATTTTAAAATAATATTTGTTTACTCATCTGTAGCACAATAAATTCAATTAAAAGAGGACTATAGAATACAATAATTTATCCTTTCTTAAATCCAAAAAGTATTGCGGAATATATATTTAAGATAAATTAAAACGAAGACATGAAATTTATTTATTTTCCAACTATTGCTAAAAAATATTGAATTGCAGCCATGCAGTCATTTAAGTTTCAATTACCAAAATGACAACAATATGCAAAGCAATATGAAGTGCCTTTTACGACAATTTCGCCAGTAGTAGACAACTCAGATTTCGCCAATGCTTTTTCTCTTCATCGTTACTCGCGTAAATTACTTCATCGGAGTTTAAATATTTTCTTTTCTTTCTTTTTTTTTTAATGGCGGGCACTTGGGGTCTGTCCCATTGGCCACAAAAATGCCAGAACTGCTACTCTCTTCTCGTTACCCAGTGGGCACCTGTGGCGAAGCCACGGCGGTGGAGCAGCGTCGCCCACGTCACAGAACCACAAACCCGTTTATAGGGCGGGTCACATTCAAACATTCACACAAGGAGGAAAGGACATAGAGCACAGTTAGAGAATTGTTGTTGTTGTTAATTTACGTCGCACTAGAGCTGCACAATGGGCTATTGGCGACGGTCTGGGAAACATCCCGGAGGATGATCCGAAGACATGCCATCACAATTTTGATCCTCTGCGGAGGGGATGGCACCCCCGCTTCGGTAGCCCGACGACCTGCGCGCGAAGTCGAGCACTTTACGGTAGCACAGTTTAACGAGGACCAATACCGCACACCCTCGGTCCCTACGCAGACTGATCCAAGTGGTCACCCACCCGCACACTGACCGTAGCCAGTGATGCTTGACTTCGGTGATCTGCTGGGAACCGTGTCTTAACGATCAATCCACTGCGGGACCACAGAGAAAGAAAGAAACATCCATCCCCTGAGCAGGATTCGAACCCGCGGCCAATAGCTCCGCAGTCAGACACGCTAACCAGTCTGCCGCCTAGTCGGCGAGTTTAAATATACTGAGTGTAAAAAAATTAATGGTCACAGCTGCTAAGGGAAGTAGGACACGTTATTAAAATTGATAATTGCATAGCGAAAAAATTACCGGAATCGTTATTTTATAATGTTATGGGTGCATTAAAAAGCAGTTTCGGTAAAAGGGTTACTATGCGTTAAAACAGCGGCTCCTAAATTTTTTTCGGTTATGGAATCCGGGATTTATATAATAAGAAATTTCATTAGCATCTGTGAATATACTAACTGAAAAAAAGTCTTCTAATTATTTTAAAGCTATTTTTTGTGAAGAATGAATTATGATTTTGTTCTTGTAGAATGCATATACTGAATAATGAATAAAATTATTTAAATTATGATTTTTTCAGAAAAAGTTATAAATGTTGAAAATAGTTATCAGAGAAATATAATAATTTATTCTAAATTTATTTATTTTATTTTGAATCGAAAATTTTGATGAGAAATAACTTATTTAATTTTTTTATAAAGTGCATAACCTTTTCATAATTTATTCAATAATTTGCAATTGAAAATAAAAATATTTTTAAAAAAAAAAATATTTCTATTTCTGTTTTATTGGTATCTTACATAAATAATTTCACATAAGTAATCGAAATATTAAATATATTATGGATTATTGATTGGATTTAAATATAATTATCACAAATTAAAAAAAATACTTTATTCACGGAACCACTGTAACCTCTCCACGGAATTTTTAGTTTGCAATTTAATGATTACACATTAAATTGCAATCAAAAAGGGAATTTATGGATTCATTTGAATGCAATTTTTGACTTTAATAATTACAAAAACATAAAATTAAAATAATTTAGAGTAAATCTACACTGCATAGCAAACCTACACTTAGAACATTAAAACTTGCATTGGCTCAATTAATACAAGCAGTGGGATTTTTATCCCCGAGTTCATTTCACTGAAATTTTTTTTTTCAATTGTTAAAAAATGTGTACAGATTTATTGTACTCAGACTTAATCATAAAAAACAGTAACAACAAAAGAAGTAAGCTATAGTCCCGCAACCAAAATAAAGAAATAGAGTGGATTTGTAAGAATACTTACAACCAAGAAAAAGGGACTGATAATTTTCCAGCATAATCTCCAAAATAAACCAGGTTTGAATCCCATCATTTCTTGAATGTTGTCACAAAATCTATCTAAGCCTAAATTGAAATTCAAATAAATAAATGGAGAATTAACTGGATAGAATTGAAAATACTGTAAATGGATGCATAAAGAATTTTTTATATGCAAATGACGCTAAATGTTACAATATTTTACATGTTGGGTAAACGAGGAAGATAGGGGTTATAAAGTAATGAGATATATGTCTTGTCTAGTTCTAATTTTTTTACATTCTACAAGCAAAGTGTATTTTACTCTATATTAGCGTACAACAAGTGCTAATGTGCGAAATAAAAACAATGTTTGAATTACATTTGATTATGCGATCAGATTTTCAGATGCTAGGTTGGGATTTTACTGCATCAACGTTCTTATTTCAAATTTGCCAATGATCTAATGCAGACGGTAGTTTAATTTATGAAATAGGACACTGAAATATTTTCCCTAAATAAACATGCTCTTAATAATAAACTCTATTATTAATTTTCGATTTTGTTCAACATCTACGAAGTTTATTTAAAAATTTGCATCAGTAGAAAGAAATCCGAATAGCAGAATGATATTTAATAAGCACATATACTATTGAGTAAAGAACAGTTGATTAAATTAATATGAAATTAGGACGGATAAATTCAGACAAATCATTACCCAAAGTTGCAATTTCTGGTTGAAATAACAGTATTTATCCACCTGTGTTGGGAGTTGTATTGAGATTATATGGCATTTTTTGAGAAATTTAGTCAATACAGCTTCAAGACCATGAGTGGTTTGGCAACCAAAGACTACGAGTTTCCAAGTTGTTTTGTATTGAGAAAAGAAGACAATACTTTTAGTATGTGGTGCATTGTGTAGTAGGTGCATTGCGTTGCAGACAAAGAGCATTAAAGAGACCTCGAAAATGGAGAGAGAAGTAAGTCTCTTAACACATCTGAAATGTAAAGCTTGTTGTTAAAAATGCCAGGAATGCCAACAAGTTGTGATCGACACACTTATTCAATGGCACCGAATACCATCACTATGGTGATGGGTCAGTATGATGTCGAATGCAAGTTTGCAACGCGTGCTATTCAAGATGCCGCCTCAAGATGCCGATGATATGGCCAATATGATTCTGTATACAAAAATGGGATTTGATTGTAAATATCACGGGTAACCATTCGTGTGCCCAGGTAGGTCATTGAAAATACCACAAAAAGAGTTCTTGTCTGTTATATTGGTTCACAGATAGCAGATTTGCCGTGTTGATGGGTTATACCGATTCAAACGTCATTGAACTGTTCAAGTACAAACAAGTTTATTTCCCGTTTCCTGGTTCCTAATGTGGCTGTGAGATCCACTGTGGCTATGCGAATGTCTGTTTTCTCAGTTCTGCATTATGGGGGGGGGGNTGGGGGGGGGGGGGGGGTGAAATCCTGCATGACGATGTTTAGCATTGTCTTGAAACTATTGGTTCATATTTTGTGAAAAGTTAACGGACCTCGGTCGAAGCAATCAGCAACAATGCGGTGCGATAAATCATAACCTCGGTAGGCTGTAATCTTTTCTTAATCAAAGTCAGAAATGTCCTGGCAAGCATTTCACAAACTTACGCTCGAGGCATTACAACAACTTTATTTTTAACAATTTAATTTAAAAGAAAATGAAATAGCAATTGATAAGGAATGTAAAAAATGCTTGAAAGGACTAATACCATCCTAAAAAAAGTATATAATAATATTAACTGTCCATATGCTTCAAATTTAAAAAAAAATAATAATTAGTTAAATTAAATATCATTTCTTGTCCAGATAAGTTAATTTATGTTAAGTTTTAAATTATTTTCGAAAGCGTAAGAACATTATTAAGAATAAAACGTAGATAGTTCCATTTTTTTACCATATATCAGTGAAATTCCTACTGTAAAAATTTTTTAATGGCGGGCACTTGGGGTCTGTCCCATTGGCCACAGAAATGCCAGAANGGGTAAACTTGGAAGACAAGACCATGCCCCTCTGTAGCTACCTCTGATATTGGTAAACTTTCTTTATTTGCCATATATCCTAGATAGTACATAGATAGTTCCATTTTTTTACCATATATCAGTGAAATTCCTACTGTAAAAAAATACCAATTGAAAAAAAATCCAGTTATTCAACTTAATTTAATACAATTATTATACAACTATACAGTTTGAATTTATGCAGCATTTCTTGATCAAATTAACAGCTTGAAGCCAAATATGTAAGTGTTGTTTTACTCTTACAACGCAAAAAAATATAATTAAAAAATAAAAAATATATATTTTGTTCCTTTACCATATATCCATGCAACTCCTATTGCTTCAAAAAGTGCGGCGCACAGTAAAGAAATCCCTGCGGAGTAGGTATCAAACCAATACATCATGTATCCACCACCCTAAAGAAAAAAGCAAAGAATATATATCTATATATAAAAAACAAAAATGAGAAGCTTGGATATAAAAAATGAAGGATAAAAAATAAAATAAAGAATAGCTTCAAGAAACAGGTATTTCAATATATATGTCTCCAAAATTCATTCTTTACTCGAGTTTTCGCAACAGCTGTTTGCAATCATAAATTTGTTCTCATGGTCTACGACAAGGAATGGTCGTCAAATAAGTTTTCAAAGAATACGTGAGAAACTGAGAAACTTTATTTCGGGTGATACAAAGCACTTCAAGTTCGAACGTGAAATACAGCTCTATTTTACCGTATCCTATTTTAACTCGAACTTTGAAAAGAGCGTTAGAAATTTTACTTTAAAAATATGCCAGGTTTATTTANATATATATATATATATATATATATATATATACCCTTTCTCCCGTGGAAAAAGTTTAAGAGAAATGGAATGAGTAAAATAAGCTGATGAGAATTGTTAAGAAAAACTTAGTTTAGTGGAATTTTTTGGGAAATATTCAAAAAGGGAAAAAAGGAATAAAATTTGGCGTACATTTTATTCGCTAGGTTGAATTTCTGAAAAAAAAGAGACGTGTTTAGGGTTTCAGGATTATTTGTTGAAGGAAGTATTTTTGGAAAGAAAATGATGAAATATTAGAAATTTTCTCTCGTGGTACTGTTAAAATGATTTACAGCAAGATTAGGATAGAATTTACTGTTAGAAAAATTGTTATTCACATATGTACTAGTCACATTAATGGAGTTTCGCAATGCAATTTAAAAGTTGAGTTAAATCATTTTTATTTAAATGTTATTTTTTAAATTTCTTAGTATGTTTTTCCTGCTCGAAATTAGTTGATATGAAAGAAGTATTACATAGTTATCTTATTTGACTTGTAAGTTAAAGTTAGATCAGTTTTAATAAGTTATATTTATTTCAATAAAACATTTGATTAGATGCAATAAAATTAAATGTCTGAATTAATGAAGGCGAGGTCATATATATCCATGTTATTTCCAAGACAAAAACAAAACATAAAAGCTAGTGCCTTATTTGCTAATGGTATGCTAAGGATTTGCAAATGGTATGCAACATCGAATATTTAAAATTTCAAATCACATAAATGTATAATGAATTGATTTTTATCTTAGCAGTTGTGACTTTATTTTGGTGGGGCACTTTATTATTATTTTTTTTTATTTGTTCGGAATTTTTCCTGTACAGGTAGGGTAGGCAGTGGTAATTAAAATATGTATTTGTATTCAGACTTTCTTGATATATACATTTTTGATTTTTTTTCTAGTTTACTTTGCGATTATATACGGATAAAAATCAAGGTGGCTTTATCTTAGTGGTGCACACCGTCTTTCTGTGTTTTATCAAGTTTTACTTCTCTTATTCTTAGTTTCATCCTGTTGGAATAGAATTTTATATTTTTTGTGTATTGCGAACAAGAAACGCAGCAAAGCTATATTAATTTTTAAGAACCATTGCGAGATGAAGTTGATTCGAAAATACACATTCACTTTGTATAATTGCTGATATTAATGAGAAAAAACCCACCTTAAAATATTTTTTGTTGCCGGATTTCATTATTCATATAAAAATGATACTAACCCTTGTTACATTGACTATTGAAACGCAGAAAGAAGATGCCAAAACTACTGCTGTAAAAATTTCTCGATTTATTTTCCACTTCGTAAAAAATTTGCTTCCTTCATCTAGAATTCCAGTTATAACAGACTCTAAACCTCCCATCTGTAAAGAAAAGAAGAAAAAAAAAATACGTTTTAAGCGAATTCAGATTATTCTTTTTTTACATAAAATTTATATTTCAATAATTGATATCATATTCAAGAAACCATTAGAGGATTTATTCTGTGAAAATTGGTTTTATTTTCTCTGAATCTTACTTACCGCACTATCTAAACCAAGTGTTAGCAGCATAGTGAAAAATAGAACTGCCCAAAATGGTCCCCCTGGTAAAGTGGCAATGGCTTCTGGGTAAACTTGGAAGACAAGACCATGCCCCTCTGTAGCTACCTCTGATATTGGTAAACTTTCTTTATTTGCCATATATCCTAGATAGGCAAATATAACGAATCCACTATAGAAACTTGTGAAGCTATTAATAGCAACGGTAAATATGCAATCTCTGAAAAAGAAACAACACAGTTGAAATGCTTTTTTTCCTCTATGGTAAATGGATGTTTAGGATATATTATGGATGGATATATTATTACCTGTAACAATTGTTGTGAAAATTATTGTATGAAGCATAAGTTAAATGTACACCAAAACCAACTCCAACAGAGTAGAATACTTGAACAGCAGCGTCAACCCAAACCTGTAAAGCAAAATTCCATAGTGAAATTTTAAAAATCCATTTCCTAGTTTCTACATAATTTGCTAGAATGCGTATTAATTAAAAATTTCCTCAAAAGAATATTCATTTTTCTGGTTTAAAAAATATATAACTGTTACGATTTTCACCAAATTAATTTTAATTTCACAGCGATGTATATATCTACTGTAGTTCTTGTGGTTCACAAGAATATTAATCAAAGGATGAACCCTGAATTTTTAAAAGTTTTCGTTTCATTTACCGTTTTGTAAAAAACAGTTCAAAGAACTTACGTTTAAAACAAATAAAATCAAAATATAAGTTTCAAATTGAAGAACTATTAAATTAATCCATGCATGCCACAATTTGAAAAAATTTTTTTTTTGCCAATTGCAACTTTTCCAACATACTAAAAATATGAAAAGGTTAAAATATTTTGCTTATAATTAGATTATGGGATTCTTACGCAAGAGAAAATAGCCAGTTTTTATTCTGCTTTCTAAGCCGACCGGCCTATGTAAGGGTTAGGGAACTGCCCTAGCATCAGAAAGGCTCTGGGTTCGAATCCCGGGCAAGGCATGGATGATCTTTCCTTCTCTGTACTATCTGTCCTTACTGTGGGCGCAACGTTGGCCCACCTAATATGGTGCCCCTGAAAGAGTGGCCAACAAATCTGCCCTTCAGATCCAGGTGGGCATTAGAAAAAAAAAACTCTGCTTTCTGATGCTGCAGTGTTCACTAGAGTTTGGGTAAGGGTGTTACCAATCTTGACAAAGTTTCTGAATGGGACACTGTTATTTTTCAAATTTATTAAACAGTTTTTGTTCTCTCTTGCTGTCTGCCGTGCTACAAAATGACACGCGAGGCGCATGTTGCAATTTCATAGGGGCCGTTAGAAAAATGCTTATAGAGAAGAGATGAATGTGTTTATTCCCGATATCTTTCGGTGGTAGGATATCTTTTTTAAAATCGAAATCAGGGAGGCATATCTTATATGAACATCTACTTTATAAAAATCACTGGCTTAAATATTTGGACTACTTATTTTTAGCACATTAATATATTAGCATAATCAGTACTGAAACATCAAATGTGCATCATCAAACTTTATCAAATGTGCATGCGAATTAAGAGATTTCATTGTTAATTTTTTACTACTTCCCAGACTTTCCTTTTTTGTTTATAGTTTTTATAATTTTGTACAGTTTTTTTTGCTTTATAGTTCGTTAATTTATAGTTTTTTTTAACTTTATTTTTATAACAACTGTGTTGGTTGCAACAGGGCATTTGTTCTAGGAAATAAGTATTTTTGTATTTTGTCGTTTTCCGTAATCGACAGTTTACTTTCACAGATTCCGCATTAGATTATGAGATTATTTTAAAAGTAATTCCTATTTTCGTTCTCTTACTTGTACCCCTAAAAATAACGATATTTGCATTATCATTTGGTAACACTATTTCTTAAGAACGTTGCTGTTGCTAAACTAGTCGCTGTTGCATGTCCAACCGAACTAGGCTAAGTCAATGATGCCGTACATTCTCAGGAAGTCAATAACCATCAATAGGCTAATATAGGTTATTGCAATCAATAACCATTAATAGGTAATAGGCTAATAAAGATCATGTTTTGTAAGGCTCAGGCAATCAAAAATGAGCTTTTCTTAAGAACGTGAAAGTAATATCTAACATTTTTACTGAAATAGACGCTATGGGAAATTATATGTTTTAAATACTTATGTTCGCTTCATACGTCATGATTTTACACTAAGTTTAAACAGAGGACTTTTCTTTGTAATACTCCAATGATGCGTAATTTCTTAATTTAGTGTCTGAAAAAATAAATCTTTGTTTTATATAAATAATCTCAAGAAACTGAAGCGGTAAGATATTACTCCATTAAAAACCTTATTCGCTTCAAAAATATAGAAATCGGAATCAATAGCTGTCAGGTTTCAAGCGATCAGAAACAGGCTCCAATTTCCAAGACCTCCCAGACGTGAATGAGAAGATACACAAGTGATTTGAAATAAAAGCGTTTAGTTGCCAACAATAAATGGAAAATTAAAAGTGAGAAACAAAACTATCTTTTTCAGCCTTTTCTCTCTTAGCTACTGTAGTTTATCTAGTTTTATTTCTCACCTTTATTTTTCCCTTTTTTGTTGGTAAATTTAAGCTTTTATTTCAAATCACTTTTTCTTCTCATTCCCATCAGGCTAGTCTTGAAAATGGGGGCCTGTTTTTGAGCGTTTGAAACATGTCGACTGTTATTTCCAGTTTGTGTTTTTTTGAAGCCACTGAAGTTTTTAATCAAGCAAAATGTTTATTTGTTGCAATATAGTTCGTTAAAATATGTGACTGTTATTTGAAGTTTGATGTTTGCTCCAAGGTAGAAAGTTGACAAAGTTAAAAGCTAAAATGTGAAAAGTGTCCTAAAATGCAACACTCTTCCCTTAAGTCGGTTTCAAATTAGGTATAGTAATTGAAAGAGAGCTCACAAAATAATCTGAGATGACACACGAGTTAGAAAATAATTTCATCAAATATCTAAAAGTTACTAGTATTTCGATTACAATTGCTGAATGTGAGTTTTAATTTTGAGAGTATATTGAAGACAGATTTTGCAACTTGAAATACCGTCTGCACGAATTAATTAGCTTATTTATAGTTAACTCCTTAACGATCGGTTAATTTTCAAGAAAACGGTCATGAAAGTGCCTATTTCTTTGATTTTTGTATTTGTATGACGTATTTGATTAGTGGTAACATCGAGTTTAAAATAAACTAACTATCTACAATTACCTTAATATCCTGGTACTGCCATCTGGTGTGTAAAATGAAAAATAAAATGTTTTCCGGGCAAAAGAAATGAATTAGTTTTATTCTTATTGACGCGTTACTTCTGAACACTCCAGCCCGTCAATATCACGGGAGAGAGAAATAGAGGGCGAAACCTCACCCCGTCATTTTCACGGGAGCGAAAAGGAAGGGGTTAATACCTTGAACCATTAGGGATTCATGCTATTGAGTAAAAATCCAATCATTAGATGAAACATTATTCGAGAGTTCCATTTTTTATTTTGCAGCTTATACACTTTATTTAAAGTCAGAAATAGTTATGCAATCTTTTGGCTGTGGTACCTAATTTAATAGAATTTTAATTCGATCAATAAAATCAAATCTAATATGATTGTCTGAGGAAGAAGTTTTCTATGCGCGTTATGAGACAAAAAAGTGTGTTATTAATTTAACTTAATTAGCATGTTCCAGTATATTTAATTTATCACATTTTGGAAGAAGTTATTTGTTATAATGCACGTGATTGTAATGAATAAATTAAGGCATAATAAAATTGCATAATGCTTCAACTCGATACATTATTGAACCTAAATATTTACTTACTTGTATTTGTTGGAAATGACTTACAGATAGTTTTTCTATTTTAAACCTCTGCATTTATTTTAAATCAAAAATCTGTTCAGATGCGTTTTGATTTATAACAAAGTAAACGTGTAGAGTTTAATTTAATAAATCCTACACTGTTACTATTTCTTAACCTTTCATAACAAATATATTATTTACGCAACTGTGCTTCCCTATTTCCGACTTTGAATTTCACGATGAGCGTAACATCTAAATTCCACCACGAAGTTTTAGTACAAACTTTTAAATTACTCGTTAGAAAAGAAAGAAAAATAAATTCATTAACTCCGACTGAATCTCAATCAAGCAAAGGGAGTTAGTTGTGTTGTGCTCAGCCAGGCATTTTCAAATTTGAAATGCGTGGCTAGTTTCTTTAATTGTAATTATAGAATTCTCAAAGTGTGAATATCTCATTTGAAAGCAATCATTCAATGAATTATACGAAATTTTCTTTTGATGAATATTAAATGCGACATGAATTACATTTCTTCTGTTCAATACATGTATAATTCGTTTAGAATAGGTGTAAAGAATTATCATAATGCAAAGAGACTGTGGTTTTAACATTAAAAAGACCACTATTTATTGACACCTAAATTATGTAGACTTAAGTTTAGTGTTGAGTCAATTCAGTGCAGGACTACTCGACGTGGAGACATTCTGCTCTAAACAAAATTCCTCACCAAATTATTATCATATATAATCACCAATGATACCAAAATTATTTTTTATTTTGAAACTTTTATGCACTAGATAACCATAGGTTTCCAAAAATTTTTGGATCATTCTCCAATTTGCAAAACAAAAAGTTTTTAATTCCTCCCTTAAAAGTAAGCCGACCAGCCAGTGAACCTTGCATCAGAAAGGTTCTGGGTTTGAATTCCGGGCAAGGCATGGATGTTTCTTTTTCTCTGTGTGTTCTATGTCCTTTCTCCTTTGTAAGTGCGAATGTGTGTGAATGGGACCCGCCCTATAAACGGGTTTGTGGTTGTGTGAATGGTGTGGCAGAAGTCGAATTCTTGGCCATAGATGGCGCCACTGAAAAACAAGAACAATCGCACCCCCTCTGCCTAAACAGGCATACGACAAAAAAAAAAGAAAAAAAAAAGTAAGTTTTAGCTTAAATTTCTTTTAAGTTGTTTCATATCGATGTGAGATAAACCTTTTAATTCTGCCCTTAAGTTATTGAAATTTATTATATTGGTGTATATGAAATGTCAGATTTTAATTAAATGTGAATGTTTCTCCCCTATTTTCGTTATTCTTTTATTTTTCGTATAACCTTGATTATTGTCATACTGTCCATTGACAGAATCCCAATTCAACAAGGAAGATTTTCTCAAAAGTGTTCCATTTTGATATTTATTTTAATTTCTTAAGGATAAGAATTCAAACTATTTTCGTATAATTCTTTTATATGAGAATAAACTTGGTAATGATGTTGCAAAAGCTGCACTCAATTTAAACCATACAATTGAGGAGAATACTGTTCACGACGAAAAAGTACAGTACTGTTTTGAAAAATTTCGATTTGACAATTTTTGCCAGCAAAAGAAACTGCGTAGAAGACTGAAAACGTCTGC